TTAAAAAATTTTCTATTTTTGTAGATCATACAGTACAGGAATGCAAAAGAGTACAGTACTGAATCTCTATATACTCTAGGGTTTTTATTCATGAATATCATGAATATCATTAAGGGGGTTACACACTATTAAAACAGCAAAAAATACTTGATTTTAATAATGTGTGACCCTGTGTGACCCCCTTATGATATTCATGAATATAAACCCTAGTGGAGACTTTCTTCTGGATGATATATTGAAGAAGAACTGTTAAAATTAGGACAAGATCTAGAATTTGAACAGTCAGTATTCTTATAAAATCAATTGCTAATTGTGTTCCAGAAATACAAATTTATTAAATCACAATTTTGTTTCTAATTCAATTCATTCATTCATATTAGGTGTTGATGACAAAATAATAAAAAATCATTTTACCAATGAAGAACTCCTTGAGATGTCTTGTGAAGATCCTATAATATTATCCGAACTTTCAGGAGAAGTAACTAATTGTTTGAGTGGTTTTATCAATAAAGTATATTTCATTTAGAATGGTCTTAATATAAGTATGTGTATTGGTAACGAAATTATCGAGCTTTTTCTTTTGTGCAGACAAACCTAAAAGAAATTAGAGGGATTCTGAAAGAATTGAGTTTGGAAGCAATTATGATCTTAATGTGAATCATGATGTGGATTATATTTTATTTGCACTATATGGATTGTAAGTAATCTTTTTATTGTGTTTCATTGTTGATTGTACATGTGTTGTTGACAAAAAACTAACTAAAAAAATTTTTACAGAGTAAGAGAGATTGAAAATAGTAATATCAAAAATTTAAATTTGGAGGCATGGTTTAATTCTCATGTATGGAATATTATAGTTGATCAGGCATTTGGGGATTTAGATGTAGTGTGTGTAGTAAGGTAATTATTGTTTATCATTATCATTATTATTTAAAAAATGGAATTTAATTTCCTTTACAATCAAGGGGAGAGAGTACAAGTATTGCTTTTGCTTCCAGAAAGAACAAGAAAAGAAAACTTGGTGAGAGAAGGAAGCTTGGTTGTAGAAATGATTTTATAATCAGATCGGTTAGCAATGGAAATAAAGATGAATTTGGAGCAGGTGAGGTTGGAAAGGATTGGACAGATGAATTTGGTACTAAGTTTATGCAAGAAGCAGGGCTTAAGTTGCCCAAAATGCTAAAAGACATGTTGTTAAAATTAATCAAAAAAGTTGATAATGTTAAGTGCCCTGAAATAAAAACAGTGGGAGTAGTACATAGTGGTATGTTATATTTGCATGTAAACAAGGATTCATCAGTTGTTATTGACAATTAATAATTCTTAAATATAGGTTTGATGATGATGGTTGTGCATGTAGATAACCCCAAAGGGTATATCTGTAGGTTTCAACGTGGAGAGTTAATGGAGGTGTCAGATGCACCAGAAAAATTTCCAAATATTTTACCAATATTGTCATCAGCTTTAAATATAAAGGTTAGACTATTATTTTTTGTCAAGCTTATTACTTATTTTATATGTTTATAATTGATATAGGTTTACAAATATTAGAATGTAGTAAGACGAACCTTGAATACTGTAAATTCAAAACCACTATCTCCACAATTATTTAAAAATGCTGGATTCAGGAGAAATGATTATGATCAATATCAACAGGACTGGTTACCTACTTCTATAACAACACCAAAGCTACCTACTTCCATAAAAACATTGAAAAAGAAGCAAAGAGTTTCTAATGCCAAGCCTACTGAGTGTAATCAAGAGGAATTTATTTAAAACTAAGAGACTACAAATAATTCAGATGAATACTAATTCAAATTTTTATTATACTGTAAATATTAACTTAAAATCTTTATATCATAATTTACATCCTTATTTTTTATTCCTTTTTAAAAAATTATCAAAAAATTATCTGATATACTTTTCCTTTAATCTTTTTATTTTCTTGCTACAGTATTATTAAACAACTTATCTTTGCATATTTCTAAATAAACTTATTCTCTTTGATAATCCTAACTTATGAACACTATATACTATAGAAAAAATAAATTGTAATTGTGATGACTAAACTTTGAACCCTGAAATATTGGTAATACCAATGTTCACTTTGTCTGGTTTTGTTGCAGCATGCCCCATTTATTATTTTTCTTTTATTAGATAAGTTTCCAATGTCTGAATATCATTTATTTTGAAAATATAAGGAGCAATTTTTCACCTTGTTCTTTCTTCAAAATACTTCTGAATAATTAATTTCAACTATTTTTACATGAAGGTAATTCTATATAATCACTTAATATCAAAGAAAAAAACAAAGATAACAAATGATGAGATTTTAATAATCACATTACTAAATTTTGATCCTGAAATTCTTGGTAATACTAATGTTCACTTTGTCTGGTTTTGTTCCAGCATGGCCCATGTGATAATTACAAGTAGTTTGACCATCAATAGAAAAAATATCCGAGATAATTCTTGCTATACCAGTTTGAGCGAGTTTTTTATCTTGATCTAATAACGAGAAATCATTATTATCATCAGATCGGCGGGAGACGAAGAAACACCACCATTATTAAGAACATCGAATTTGTTTTATTCCTAGGCTCTGTTGTTGATAAGACATAACTCTATGTTGTTCTTTTTCAATAAGACGCTTTATCAAACAATTGGTTCCGAATCTGGTTTAATTTAAACGGTTTAAAATTGTATTATCATCATTGGCGTGATAAAGTGTTGAGAAAATAAATTAAACCCATTTTTTTTTTATATTAAATAATCTAGATTTTCCAATTTAAGTTAAAGATTATCAACTCACCAATTCGTCACATCTTTTATCCAAATAAATTTTTCGAAAGAGAGTTGGCGGTATTATAACGTAAAAATCATATGTATTAGTATTAGTATGTATGTACAATTGAAAGAATGAATATATATACATACATACATACACACAATGGAATACTTACCTTATTAATGGTAACACCATAAACTATTACGTGACATCATCCGCAGTGAATATTTTGTGTATGTGTTACTATATACGAATGGTTTAATGAAGTTTACAAGTTGCCGCTCGATATAAAGAAGAGTTGGCCTTTTGGCAAAAAACTCCATTATTATTATTATTATATAGTTTATATTAAAAAATCGTTATGTCGAGCTGAATTTATATAGTATATTGAGCGCCGACTGTATTTAGAAAGATTCCTTTTTTTTATCGGAATTATTTTTTGTACACCCATAATTTATTATTTATAATATAACGCATAAAAAATAATTATTACTATACTTGTGTAGAGAGTCAAAAATTTGAACAAATTATAATCAAATATTCATTTTTATTACATATTTGATGAATTATTGATTACGACGACGAAAAATTTTCAATTAAAATGATGAAATATTAATACATAAATAATAATTCAAATCTGTTAATAACTCACGACTACCACGAAGACGGTTCGCAAGTTTAATGTCTTTTTTCATCAAGGTAACACGCTTTGCATGCAAGGCTCTGAAACAAACTTCATATGATAATTAAAAAACATTTGGGGTTCCAAAATCTTATATATATATTCTGTGGTTATTACTTTTTAAGAAGTTTTTTTTATGAGTGGGAAATTACAACCAAATAAAAGCCTATTTATTGATTTATGTATATAAAAAATAGAATATCAACGTATAGAAAAATTAACATCTTATTATTATGACTATTTAGAGATTGTAAAAACATAACGATACATACGAAACGTTATTTTACAGAATAAATGGTTGATAAGACCTCTTTTTTCAAAATAATAATAAAAAATGTCATCCATTACGTCTATGAGATTGGGTGAATTTTTACCACTTGACATTGATGGTGTAAAGAGAATTCCGACGAATTGATAATTTTAAATTTCTATTGGCATCTTTCTATGATTAATATATTGTCATAAACTTTGCAGGATCATAGCATAAATCAATTACAACGAACCGAATTTATTTTTTATATGAATGAATTTCTTATTTTTCCGATGAAGTTTGCTTGCATCAATTCAACGAAAATCAAATCCTCACGATATAAAGTATCAAGCTAACCAATCTACAAATAGCTTTAGAATATTGAAATGAAAATCAATGGAAGGCATTCCAAAAAAGTTAATATTGACATCTTCTACTTGCCAAAATAAGCTGATAGGAGGCATCCTCATCTGTACTTTGGTCTGAAGATGCTAGAAGAATCGGACGAGGATTTAGAAAGATAGTATTTTCACAACAGATATTAAAATCTCATGCCTATGGATTTTAATTAAAGAAATGCGAGCGAATGTTTTGTCAGTGATAATGAATTTAAGGATGTCATCACAAAATTAATTATTTTTTAGGAACAATTTTATTTTTTTTTTCTTTGATCTTGATAAGTTTTGGTGAAAACTACGCTCTTAATAGTTTTTTCTTCCTGATCGATTTTATAAGTAATTTTTTTCTTTATTTAAATATCTCTCAATCCTTCTAATATCATTTATTTAGCCTGTTCTTATTTTAACAAACTTCTTAAGGTATTATAATTGTTTGAGTTTATAATGATAGGAATAATCTTATATTTAAAATTGAAAAATTATGACAAGAATTAATCAAGAATAATGTCTAAGCTATGCTCAGAAGGTGCTTGTTATGATGATGATAGTATTCGTCGATACAACAATCTTTTTTTAATCTTTTTGAAGAAAAAATAAAAATTCAAACATATCAAGAGATTAATTGACAGTAGAAGAATTACTTGGGTTTTGTTATATACTATTCATAAAGAAGTTTTAAACAAAAGATCGGGTATGTTGAAAAGTAAAATTATAACATTATTATTATGCTAAATGCTTAAGAAAGAGAAACCGAACATACAGGAGTTTTTCAATGAAAATGAAATTTTTAATACCACTTTTGCGTGTAACTTTTTACGAAGAACATTTTTGGCTTAGAAACATAACCACTTTACATAGCAAAATTTGGAGATTTTTCCCTTTGAAGTTTTAAAAATAGTAGCAATTCCTTTAAATGCAAATTTTTTTTAAAGTTTCTATTGAAAAGTTAGAAAGAAGAAAATAAAAAAGAAAAAATAATAGAGTATAGAGCATTCTTTAATTATAATTAGCCTGGGGTTTGTTATTAAAAAGACCGTAGAAGCTTCAAGAACCATAAAAAACAAGGTTCAAAAATTACAAGTCTAAACTCATTGAAAGGATGGGATTGAAATAAAGAAAGATTAGGAAAAAAAATAGCCTCTTTAAAACAATAATGACGCAAAGCCCTTCAAGTAAAGAAAAAACATCAGTAGTCAAAAAGATAATACAATGAAAAAGCAATTAATGAATTTTAAATGAGAGGATAAGGAAAAAAGGAAATGATTGTTATTCAGGAACTTCGGAATAAAGTTAAGGGAAAACATACCATTTAAAGGAAAAAGCCATAGAGTTAAGCCAAATAAAACAGAAGTATAAGCTTAGTGACTTCAATTATCTTATGTTGTTATGGCGTTTAGCATATTTATAGTTTTGTACCGCCAAATTTAATTTGTGGCGTGAAGTCCACTTTGCAGTCGCCCCAACAATTATCTATTTTCAACGCCACAATATAATCCTTCACTGTGTTCACAGTCAGTTATTAGAATATTATATTATCATTGAGCCAATGGGGGTCTATTGTAATGTAATCTAAATACAAACTATCCTCCGACATACTATTTCCTGTCTGCCCTATCAATATTAGAGCTAGTCTGATTTACTGAATAATAAATGAAGATCTTCACATGACAAAGTCACGTGAAAAGCATTATATTATAAACTCTAAATTCCGTCTGATACTCTGCTAATTAATTCCCACCCTCTACGTAACTTTTGCAAATTTCTAATTGATTAAAGTACAAAACCCAGACTTTGAGGAACAGTTGTAATCACAATTTTCTCTAGAATAATACTTAACAAGCTCCCTAATATCTTTCATGCACCCGCACCCAGCCTTTTCAATCAACTCCTGAATTGCACTTTTTGTAATAATTTTTTGTGCACAACAATTCACTTTAGAATAATATGACCTTTGTCCAATTCAACTTTTAGATCCATTTACTTTTCATCAATTAGACCATATATTATCATCAGATCCACTTTGAACTTTCCATTAACTCAGGATTTCCAATAAATTATTATGAACTAAAAATAGGTTTTAACCTTATTTGTACCAGCTGTTGCCTTTGTGATAAGCCATTCAGGCCCAGTTATTATATGGGGCATACTGCAACAAAACCAGACAAAGTGAACATTGGTATTACCAAAGATTTCAGGGATCAATTGTGTTTGTTTAACATCACAATTGTATTGCCAATGTAATGTGATCATGATATTTGTCTAGACAAAAATAGTTAATATGAAACTAATTTATATCAGATCTACTATGGAACCCAAAAATTACAGCACCATGGAAGTATTTTGAAGAAAGAACAAGGTGAAAAAATTGCTCCTTACATTTTCAAAATAAATAATACTCAGACACTGGAA